GGTGCCGAAGAAAAACGGAGAGTTCAGAGCAATACTGGACCTAAAATGGCTCAACAGATGGGTCTTAACCAAGAAGTTCAAGATGGAGACGGTGAAAACCATCTTAACCTCCATTCAGCAAGGGGACTTCATGGCCTCTATAGACCTATCGGAGGCCTACCTACATGTGCCAATCAGGGAGTCTCATCAGAAATTCCTTCGCTTCACTTACAATGGAAGTCACTATCAGTATCGGGGCCTCCCCTTTGGTCTGAAGTCTGCACCAAGAGTGTTCACCAAGATACTGGTATCCCTGGTGGCCCACCTGAGGACAGTGGGTGTGTCCTTATTTCCATACCTGGATGACATCCTGGTCAAGGCCCCCTCCTTTCTACAAATGAAAAAGTCCTTGGAGATCACCTTGACGGAGCTCGAACATCATGGGTTCGTCATGAACAAGATAAAGAGCTCATTGGTTCCAAGTCAGTCCATCTTACATTTAGGAGTGCAAATCAACACAGAGAGGGACAGGGCGTTTCTCTCTTAGGAATGGCAACAAAGAATACCTCTGTTGACACAACAAGTTCTGGAGACTCAGAAAGTGGACATTTTATGTCTAGCGCAACTTCTGGGGATGCAAGTGTCCTGTCAGGATGTCCTGCAATGGGCAAGGTTCCATGCAAGATCCTTACAGCGTTTTCTCCTGCCTTTCCAGTCAGATATAGCGCAGAAGAGGAACCAAGAGGTAGAGCTTCCAGAATTAGTGAAACTTCAACTAGTATGGTGGATGGAACCGGACTGTTTCAGCAAGGGAGTACCTCTCAGGGACCCTCCTCGAGTAGTGATTATGATGGACGCGAGTCTGTTCGGATGGGGAGCACATTCAGAAGGGAAGATGATACAGGACACATGGATGTTAAAAGAGAAGTCGAACAGCATGAACCTGCTGGAACTCAGAGCGATCAGATTGGCGGTAGAACGGTTTCAGGGGTTGGCACAGAATCGTCATATCCTAATTCAGACAGACAATATGACGGCAAAGGCGTATGTCAATCACCAAGGCGGAACACGCTTCAAAAAGTTACACGAAGAAGCGAGCAAATTGATAAGGTGGGCGGAAGCTCACATCTTGTCCATAAAAGCCATTCATGGAGCAGGGCGAGAGAACACAGTGGCGGACTGGTTGAGTCGGCAGTGAGTCGACCAATCAGAATGGATGCTAAACAGGGCAGTGTTTGGACAAATATGTCAGAGGTTCGGGACGCCAGAGGTGGACTTATTTGCCACAGAGCAGAATCGACAAACAAGACTGTTCGTGTCCAGACAAAAAAGTCCTCTAGCCATAGGAACAGATGCCCTGCATCTTGTATGGCCACCAACACTTCTGTACACTTTTCCTCCGATACAAATCATCCAGAGGGTGCTTCAAAGAGTAATAGATCTGAGGGCAGAAGTAATCCTAGTCGCCACATTTTGGCCCCGTCGGCCCTGGTTTCAAGATCTGAGCAGGCTTGACAGTCCAGGAGCCCTGGCACCTGCCCCCTGTAGAAGACCTCCTCACACAAGGGGAGACGGTCCACCCACAACCAGACCTAT